GTGTTCAAGTGCATTCTATTATTAAAGGCATAGGCATCCATAGCTGACGGGAGAATGATAGTGAACATCCTGACATAGGAGTAAAGTTGTGTGCTGATGGCAACAGATCTAACACATACTATGAGCTAAGGGCTATTGGGGCTCCAATCTTTCCTTGAAGAACGAGATGAAAGAGATGCTTCAAAGTGCAGTTATGGAAAGAGGTTGTGGGTCTCCGCAATGGATTCTGCTCAATGTGTCCTCGAATGCAAAGAGTAGCGATTACACTAATCCCGTAGGACAAATGGTCGTAGACCTATTACAATCGGACACAAGCAGGTCCCGATGGCCTAGACCATGATGGAGTTATATACGATTACCCATGGGAGCCGATAGCGGCTTCACCTAACCCAACTCGATGGGATAATAATATCTATAAAACCCAAAGTTCACGAGATTTCCCCCATTCGATGCATCAGCTCGAATGGGGTTATTTGATGTCGGGGATCGGTCTTTTTTCCCTAACGTGCGCAAAGCCCCGTAGTAATTACAGCTTAGACCTCCCATCTAAAAAAACTCTCGGATTCGAGGTGTCTGGATTATTACCACTTTGATTTCGGGCACAGAATAAAGTTCCCTAAGTTCTCTTCCAATAGATCTCTTCCTAATCTACCTAGTGATGATTAACATTTTGATGGAGTAAAAGATATGATTTAAAAATTGTTTGAGTTTAGAGAATCAAAATCGGTACTAACCCTAGAGAAACGACAAGACTCAAAACATAGATAAAAGGAAACACACTGTAGGCGTGTACAACCTGGACTTATGGCTTGCCTGGAGTGAGCTGCCAGCTAACATCCTAACACGAATCAATGCGCCCTAGTATGTAGATACAAGAAGAAGGCTCTATCCTAGCAGAAATCAAGGATTCGTAGTCAAGAGATTTCAATCAGTGACTCTATAATATGCAAAAGGTTTACCTTAACGCCATGTATTGATGCATGACAGATACGAATATTTCCCTACTATATTGATGGTGATGATGCGTGATGATAAGTGAAGCATAATGTGAGGGTAAATGTGTTGTAAAAAACAAGATGCATGCATGACATCAGAGTATAATAAAAAAATAAAATAAAACACACCCTAAGGCGTACCCTCCAGGCAAGGTACTCCGCCACAGATAAAATCATCAAGTCATGCACCGACTTCGTTCTCTGTGGGAAAACAGCGCCGAGCCGGGGCATGGTTCATAGGTAGGTGGCCTACTCTACAGGGCCTAAATGACCCTAATGGGTCTCTAAGGCTCACAGAAAAAAAGAAAAAAAAAATTGCTGGCAGGGCCTGTATGCCAGCAAATAAAGTAAAGTCAGGCATCGTACCCAAAACCAGCAATCACTAGCAGGCAAAAAACCACAGATGCCCACTTCGTCGTAAGAAGCGAAACAAACGATCCCAACCACACGGCGATCCCCGTCAGTCTTGGACCTACTCTACGACCCTAAATGACCCTAACGGTCTCTAGGGCTCACAGAGAGAATGGCAAGCGTTGACTATAGAGGCCAAAGCTTCGGTCAGTGAACTACCCTAAGGCTGGCTACCTAAACATCGTACTAGTAATACCTATAAAATTTGTTGTGTGCAGTATGTAGTGAATTCCGATATAATAACTAAGAGGTTTTGAGTTGCCAGAAATTATACCTGAATGTGGCGCTGCCACTTAAAAGCTTATAAAGCAAATATGTCGTTTAGGCTAGCCGATCATTAAGCTCCAGTGTACCTCGCAAGAAATAGATAACAGAAAAAATATATATATGAGCGTAGATGCCGTTCAGAAAGGAAATGCAGATAAAATAACAAAGATATATAACTAACAGGAAAATTGAATATAGCTAACAGAAAACTTCAATAATTGCATTTATAGAGCATGTGTACGATAGTAAACACTGAACACAAAAGGAAAGACATTAGCCCTAACCCTTAAGCTAGTAAATCGTCTGTCCAGCTAAACCAATCTAAGTTTGTGTAGTTTTCTGGATTGGTTCCAATGTAGAAAGTTTAATTATAGTGTGTTGTATTTTATTTTGTCTAGGCAAAAGAGGTTTTAATTCAGTTTTAAAATATTCAGTAGTTTAGGATTGATTTTAAGGGAAAATTATAATTCCAGATTGATTGAGTATATTTATTGTTTGTAAATTACAAAGAAAGCGTGGATAGATGTTTATATCGATTCAGGGACAATTATTTAAGTTTGCTCATCAACTGCTGTCGTGGCGTTTGCACAGGCTCGAGGAACAGGCCTCCTCTAGGGACACTTAGCCCCGCCCGCCCGGAAATAGTCCATCACTAAAAACCATTGACTCACTCAGTTGCAAATAAAAAATTTTGTTGATTGCATTTTACAAGAAGGTTAGTTTTGATTTGATTGAAGTTTTAGAGTGAATAGTAGATTTGGGTTTTAGAAGATTTTTTAGTTTAATAAAGTTATAGTCTTAAATTCACCTTCCTAACTTTTAATCTACAGTCTTTAAATTCTTAGATTTTGTTTGAGTGGATTATTAGATGTTGTTGGATCTAATTTAAGTTTGTATTTTAGGATTGGAAATATTATTATGGGTTTGAATACGACATTAAAGTATTTTAGTTATACTTCTGTTAAGCGCTCTGATCAGTAAAGGCTCTAACTCCTTTCATTGATTGATTATTATGTGACGTAACCGATCGATCTAGGAAAATGTGTCACTAAATTTGGTTTTGATGTCTCTAATCCCTATAAGGAGCATGCATCCTATAGTCTTATGTTATCTAAGACAGATCCTAATTTTTGTCCTTAGATGTCACTAAAATTGTTAGGATTAAAAGAAAGGGTTCTCTCGCTCTCTCTCCTTAAGGACTTTCGTAACAATTGTCATAGGCTAAGAGATTTATGCATGAAAATACTTCTCCTCAAGTCAGCCAAGCCTCCGCCCAATAGAATCGAAACGAATAAAAAACACAAAAATTTACAAATTACAAAGGCCTATAGGCATTGCTATTTTACGTACACACTTCTTTGAATAGACCCAAAATTGTGTCTTACTAAAATAACCTCCTCCCGAATTCGATTATAACACGAATAGGAGGAAAGCATTTACATGTCCTTTGCTGTCCCCACATTCAAGTTAAGCACTGATATATTGTGACTCGAACTACCCTACAATACCGGTTAAAGCACCCCAGCTCTCTGGGG